GTGTTCTTCACTATTTCAGAATATATCCACTTATCCGAAATAAACATGTTAGATTTTACTTCGTTTCTCACAAGAAAAACAAAGGCTCTTCAAAACTTTCTCCTTTCCTTTTCCTTTCATCTACTTAGAATTATGAGAGTTATATAATCCCTCTAGATGCATTCTAAACACACTCTTAGGATGAATTGAGCTTTCCTCAATCTTATTCGTAAATTCCTTATTCCCAAATAGTGATGTTATTTTGAAAGAGCTTCTTATCTACCTTGTTAGAACATGTAATGCAAAGAGACGTTATTTTTCCTTACTTGACGTGTGAGAGAAAGCTCCGCCATAAAGCACTATTATATTGTCTCGTTTCAGAGAATGCTCAGACAACTTAAAAGAAAGAAGAAGATGACTCTAACGACTATATTCATGAGTGTAACGGATCATTTATGAAGCCCAACTATAAATAAAAGCATTTATGAAGACGAAAAGAAGAAGAATGCACACAAACGAACATAAGTTATACTTATTTATTGTTTAGCAACTTTATGAGTTTACATTAATTAAGAGTGAACTTTATTGATTATCTATCAACTCTTAGTGAGAGTATTTGACAATAGTAGTTCATTCTTGAATTTACTCTGTTCATCTCTGTTTTTATGACTTGAAACAGAAGATCTTAAGTTTAGGGAGTTTGAGATGGATATATCATTACTTTTGTAAGGGAGAGTGATTTAGACTATAGTTTAAGTCTAGGATTGCACTGAAGTTACCAAGAGCTTGGATTGATTTTTGTAGAGTTAGTGGACAAAATCTCAAGTAGTGATTAAGGATTGGACGTAGGTTCAAATGGTTGGAGCTAAATAGGATAAATATTTATGCAAGCTTCTCTTCCTTTCTCTCCATTGTGTTTGGTTATTTTGTTCTAAACTCATTTATGTAATCTTATTATTATTAGGCAAATTTTAATTTATGCCCAATTCACCCCCTCTTAGGCTGACTTTCAATTTTGCTATTCATTCTAAATTGATTTTTAAGTATTTTTAATATTGTATTTGCTAAATAAAAATTTTGAATATTAAATATAGCCAATCTTTTATGAGTGATGAGCACTATCCTTCATAAGATCAAGATTGTTTAGATTTAAAGTTGGGAGAATGACACATAAATATCACTGAAATATGCATATCCCAAATAAAGCCCACGAAATGGTTTAATGACTTTGAAATCCCTTGAGATTTCTCTAAAATTAAGGTTTTTAATGAAATGATAATATCCTTCAAAACCGCCTCTTCATCCTCCAGCACACAGACATTATCACTTTCCATTTTTGACTTCAATTTCTCTTGACAGTGGAAACACTCATGGCTCATTGGCAAAGGCTCTTCCAATTTAACTCTCAAGTTGGGACACCCTACAAATTGAGGCACTCTCAATTTTAGTCTCCCATTCTTTGAGAACAAGTTGAAGCTTCACTGCCGTGCGACGTCTTCCCTGTAGACTAATACGGCTCTTTGTTAAATCGGGATGTAATAAAACAAAATGGTTTTGAACTTTGAAGTAGTTTATGGGTTGGTAAGCAAGTATTTGATTTTTTTTTTTTTTTTGCTGAATGAGATGATGCGTTTTTTGTAGTTTAAAAATGGGGTTATGGGATTAGTTTCTTATTTTCAATAAAACTTCACCAAAAATCTCAAAAATAAGATTCCTGGGTTGTCGGAGGATGGAGGAATGTGGCAAAATACTTAATGGATGGAGAAAGCATATTGTTGACAAAGAGAGACTAACATTAGGATTGGTAATATTGGAGATCTTGCAATTGTTAGAGCAACAGTATGGAGCAGAGCCAAGAGAGTGTAAAAATTTTGCTGATGTTGTAGATTTTCATGATGATGAGGACTACAGAGGCGGAAAAGAAGGATTTTAATAGAGGAAAAGGGAGGAAAATATTCCCTCCTACTCTCTGTAATTTGGAAGGGAGGATTAATATTATTAATTAATAAATTCATTATCATTATTATTATTTCTTTTATTTTTTATTAATTTAATTAATAGAAAATAAAAAAGGAAATAAAATTGAAAATTCATTTATTAGTATTGGAAAATTCTGAATATAATTCTAATAATAGAATATAATTATAATAATATAATATATCAATAATAATATTAACTTAATTTTTTAATTTAATTCACAAAAAGATAAAAATACAATTATCTTAAAGAACAAACAATAGTAATCAATACTGACATAATAGAAGTAAGTGAATCAATCAAATAGTCAAACTCTAAAGAAATATCATTATTTATAGTCCAAGACCATGTATATTGATAGATAGAACTGCTATTGATTTGATGAATAGATAAATTCATTAAAAAATAATAATTATACTTAATAATAAAACACTAAAAAAAGCCCACATACGTTAAATATTTTTTGTTGGCATGGGAAAAAGGACAAGTCCCATTTCTATTGGCTTTTTTTTTTTTTTTTGAAAAAAAGCTTGAGAATCTATGGGCTATTAATAGGGGTATTGTCAAATAAGGGGAGGTAGAAAAGGTTTTTTGTTTCTTTTAAAAAAGTATGAAGAAGGTTAGTAAGGTAATTTCACTTAAGTTGTTGATTCCAGAGAAGTGTCATGGGACCTTAGGGTGATTAAGTCATTTTAAGGTTCTAATTTGAAATTTTTATATTTCATGAGAATTTTTCTGTCATTTTCCCTTCAAAGTTTTTTATTTTATTATTTTATATTTAAGAAAATAATTTTTTTAATAATTTTATTCATCACCAATTTTATCAGTGAAGATTCAATCTGAACAATTTAATTTAATATTAATTTTTTTATCTTTTACAAATTAATTATCCATATGTACTTTGAATAGTACATATTCAATATTTTTTATAATTTTTATAAATTTTTATTTTGATAAATATAATTTTAAAATAACTAAAAATCAATGTAAATTATACCGCAAGGACAAGGGATCATTTCAAAATCAAAATGAAAGACGAAAAGGCTCCTTTTTTTTGTCATATTTTTGACATTCAAAAAGTAATTTTTTTTTTAACTTTCAAATAGTTTAATGTTGTTTGGATACAGTTTTTTTCAAATCTAAAAACACTCTTTCGAAAGCACATTCAAATAGGCTCTAAAAGTGAACTTTGCCAGTTCATCCAAAACAAAACAAAAAAGTGAACTTTGTCAATTGAAATATTTGGAGCTTTGTCCGACTGCTTGACTTGTAACCCCAAAAAATGAATGTAAATAACCATTGGCTAAAGTAGCAAATTTGCCACGCACTATTTTTCCAGAAACATCTAGTAGACTCAACTATCAGATAGTGTGAAACAAACCATGAACTTTCAAAAATAGAGTATCCAGTAGCTCACTGTTAACTTTAGTGGACAGACGTTATATGGGCTCACAATGACACATGGGACTCCACGGGCACTTCACAATAGCATGTGTAAAAGTGCAAATTTAATCATGAATTATTTTTCAAACAACACTGGGTAACCTCTAGCTACTATAAAAATGGAACATCTAACACCTTCTCATCAATTTTGACCAAACATAATTTATTTTTATATTTATGAGACTCACAACACCTCGATCTCTCAAATCTTCGAGAAAAAGAGATTCAAAAAGTTCTCACGTGAAGGCATTCATGAGGATAGTATCAATGAAGTAAAAGCTTGATTTTACTATGCATGGGAGAAGCTTGATTCTAGCTTAATTTAGTCATGAATTATTTATTCTATTTTGTTAGCATCGTCTTTGTAAATGTCTTCAATAAGAACTCTTTGAACTTTTTTTTTTTTAAGATGAAACTGAGAACAAAGGTAAAAAAATTGGAGAAGTTGATGTATTTTGGGTGTCATAAATTTGAAAATAAACAATGTTTAATCAAAATTAATAGAAAAATGTTGGGTTGTCCATTTTTTATAGTAGAGGCTATTTAGTACTCCTTAAAAAATAGTTCGTAGTTAAATTTACACATTTACACATGCTGACATGAAGTGTCCATAGAGTGCCACATGTCATTATGGGCTCTACTTACTGTCTGTCTACTAAAGTTAATAGCGGGCTACTAGATGCTTCATTTTTAAAAGTTCATGGTTTATTTTGTATCATCTAATAGTTTAGGCTATCAGATACTCCTAAAAAAATAGTACGTGATCACATTTACACCTTTACCCATGACTATTTGAGACTTGTTAATTGGACATTTCGTAGCACTGCTTCTTATTATTTAACAAATTAAATTGCAATTAAAATAAAAAAAATAGAAGAAATTATTTTATTTTATTTTATATATTCTTAAAAAATTCAATGTAAAATTTATTAATGTTTTTATCATCTCTTATTTATTATTACAAACATTTAACTACTCTATTATTTTTATCACATATTCTTCAAAAAAATTTAATATATTGTGTTTGTATAACAAAAACCACAAATCATTATAAATCAATATTTTTTCTATAATTATACATTTAAAAATATATTTCATTATATATAATTTAAATAACTTTTAATTTACTAAATTGATTTTTGAAAGTATCTATTCAAATACAACTTTCACTACAATAATCTATTTCTACTAAATTGACTTTTGTCAAATTAATTTTTAATCAATAGAAAACCAAACTCGCATGAATATTAGCCTTTGATCAAACTAAAGAGCACTGGATGCGAGTAGAGCTCCATGGTTTTCGATAACGCACATTTTCGTGAGTTGCAAGTAGATGTGAGGCAAACGCAAGAATGGAGGGATGATGCCTCAGGACGTTTTTCCAAACTAGAGGGGTTGCTGGAATCTTTTTCCAAATCGGTTGAGAACCACAGTCGATGGGCGAAAGCTAACCAGGCAGAGAAGGATGCGGAGTCCTCTGGTGTTCATACGTTTAGCCAGTAGCTTAGGAGGGAGAGGCCTTTGAACATATAAACATCACACCACTTATGAGATTTCTCGATTTGAGACTTGTAACAATCAAATGTCATAGTTATAAAAGATAATTGGCAACACAAGATATATTGATTTAATAGAGGCACAGAGTATAATTATTACAAGCACGTAAACAAGCAAAGGGAAATAACAAAACTGTCAGAACATGCAGAAGGGAGAGAAAAACAATCAGGGAGAATGATTACACAATTTTGAACAACCTTCCCCACCCCCTCCTCCTCATTACTTAAATATCATCCAACTCATGAAGTCTCCACGTGGGTCTTCATTTACGTTTGCTTCTACATGGTGCCTCTTCAATCATGTGTGCCTTTTGGATTAGGCTCGAATCTTCAAGCCCATGCTCTGCTTTGACAACTCCCGCATTCTCATTGGGTTAGGTCTGATCATAATGGGTCATTGTGATAATACTCGCTCCCTAGAGTTTGACCTTACCCTCAAGGTCAAAATCTGGATATAATTTCTAGATCTGCTCCAAGACTCCCACGCTGGCGTAATCGCATAGTCCCATTGCACCAAAACCTCAGAAACTACTTGAAGATCATGAATAGTGAAATGAACATCCAGGATGTCAATCGGCTGGGAAATGGGACCCGCAAGAGCAGTCACCAAGGGCAACTCTAAACGAGTGCGATCAGTAAAACACTTCATGCGTTCCTGCACTTTGATTAAGGTGTCCCAGAGGTATGTAAGAATGAGATCTCATTTTGTCAGCTGAGCATGGATGTCCACAGGGGTATCTTTCAGAGAAGCATGATGCAGTAACGGTGGCAGATCATGGCCATAAACGATCTTGAAGGGTGACATACCCAAAGAGTCATGGCTTGTACCAGAATTCAGCCCATGGAAGATAATCAAGCCAATGACAAAGGCGGTCAGCTGTGAAGCAGCGGAGATACAATTCCAATGTGCAGTTGACTGCCTCAATTTGCGCGTCACTCTAAGGGTGATATGATAAGCTCAGTTGAAGTTGGATGCCTTGCAATCGAGCTAAGTAGCGCCAAAATGAGCTTGTGAAAGCTTTATCACGATCAGAAAAGATCGTTTACAGTGGACCATGAAACTTGACCACGTGATGAAGGAAAGCTTCAGCCACTATTTGACTGGTATAGCATGCTTATAACAGAATAAAGTGGCCATAGTTGGAAAGACAATCCACTACTATAAAGGTGACTGCATACCCCCATACCAGAGGAAGACCAGTAATGAAGTCCATCGAAATACCCTCCCAAATTCTTTAAGGCACTGGCAATGGTTGTAGTAAACTAGCAGGGTGAAGTTGAGAGACTTTCACCTGTTGGCAGATCAAACAATGCTATACATAATCATAAATATCATGGCGCATCTTGGGCCAATAGAACAAGGATGCTAAATGTTGGAAAGTGTGGAGAAAACTTGCATGACCACCTATAGCCAAATCATGAAACTCCTTTAATAACTGTTTGATCAACTCTACGTCATCATAGGGTAATACCAGGCATTGTTGGTGAAAAACATCACCATGCTGCAACACTTAACATGGAAAGGATGTTGGCTTATCCTCGAGCTGCAGGCGCATGTGAGAGATTATCATCGAAGATCGAACTCGCTAATAAATTTCATCCATAATGGGATGGTGAACTTGTGTTAAAGTCATCAAAGTCACTTGAGACAAAGCATCTGTAATAGTATTAGTGTCTTTAGGCTCATATTCCACTGGTACCCGAGAAGCTTCAAGAGACATGCTTCCTGCTCGGGTGCTTGGACCCGTTGATCAATAAGGTGTTTCAAACTTGCATAGTCTATGCGAATCCCCTGTTATATACTGATTCTTCTCGCATCCATTTAGGTAACTTTTTTGAAAAATATGTGATGGGATGTTCGTTTTGGCATGATACGGTGCCAGTGCCAATGCCAGAGGCATCGGTCTCAAGTATGAAAGGCTTTGAAAAGTCTGGTAGTGCTAACACTGGAGCCTACATAAAGGCTTGCTTCAGCGCCTCAAATGCATGTTGTGCTTTAGAATGCCACTGGAAAGTACCTTTCTATAGAAGGCTGGTCAAACAGGTAGCAACTCGTGCATACTATCGAATGAATCGCTTATAATACCTTATTAATCCAAGGAATCCCCTGAGTTGAGTCAACGTGGTAGGTACAGGCTAGTCCCGAGTTGCCTGTACTTTGCCTTAGTCAACTTCTACGTCATCTTTTGTAACTACGTGCCCCAAGTAATCAACCTTCGTTTGTTCAAATGAGCATTTGGAAGGCTTTGCATATAGCCTATGTTCCTGTAATATATGCAAAACAACCTCAACGTGTTGCGAATGTTGTTCCCAAGTCATACTATATATCAGTATATCATTAAAAACTATTAAGACAAATTTTCTCAGATATGGTTTGAAGACGGTATTCATGAGAGCTTGGAAAGTTGCCGGTGCATTAGAAAGACCAAAAGGCATTACAATCTACTCATATAACCCCTGGTGAGTGCAGAATATTGTCTTCTCTCTATTATTTGGATGCATTAATATTTGGTGATAACCCGCTCGGAGGTCTAACTTGGAGAAGAAGACATACCCATGCAATTCATCTAATAGCTCATCTATTGTTGGAAGAAGGAATACACCCTTCACTGTGACAGCATTAAGGGCACGATAGTCCACACAAAAGCGCCATATGCCATCCTTCTTTCTATCCAAGATCACTGGAGCTCAAAAGGGACTGCTACTTGCCTGTATAAAGCCCTCGGATAACAACTCTTGCACCATTTTCTCTATTTCATTTTTCTAGTTGAATGGGTAGCGATATAGCCGCACCTTCACAGGATTAACACCCGGTTGAAGTAGAATCTGATGCACATGTTCATGATGAGGTGGAAGCATAGTGGGTTTTTGTAAAATTGGTCTGTAGCGTCAAAGTACATGACCAAGGTCAGTGGGTACATCTAGTGGAAGCTGCAAGTCTGAATCTTCTACTTCTTCTACCACCCTTTCATGTCCCTGTAACATAAATAATTCCGCAACTACATCAGTGTGACAAAGCCAAATTAATTGATGCAACTGAGCTTGCATCATGGGTGCAGTCTTGAACCCATTTAGTGTAATGAAATTTCCATTATGGAGAGAAATCAGGTCATAAACGCACTGTAGTCTGCCACATGCAGTCCCAATGTCTCCAACCATGCAGCCCCAATAGCTATGTCAATACCCACAACAGGTAAAACAAAAGTAAGGAAAGAGATAGTATATCCACTGATCAAAACAGGAAGTTTGGCCACCATCAAGTCACATCTCATCAACTAACCTATCCTTACCAGCACTCTAAATATGGGTACCTTTTCAACTGGCAATCATAAGTGGTGGACAATCCTGGGGCGTACATAGTTATCCAAACTTTCCTTATCTAGAAGCACCTGCACATTGGTCCCTTATATTGTACCCTCAAAACGAATTGTAGCTATTCCAGATGACCCTCGATAGGCACATAATGACAAGTGGTGAAAGGTGTATAACTCCTCTTCTGCCCCTTCAATTACTTCCTCTGCCATAACTTCTCTTCCAGCGTCCGTCGTCAACATCATTAACTGTCTCTTTCCATATTTATGTGCCAGTGAGAACTTCTCATCATAAAAGTAGCATAAGCCTTTCTCCCATTGGATCTACATCTCGGCAGGGGTGATCCGACGTTTTAGGGGTTGATCCGAGGTAGGCAATAATGGGGAAATATCATTTTGTTACCGATTCCGAAGTTTACCAACTTCGGCATAATATTTGTAGGAACCACCTAGGCTCTTGTGCTGCTCATTGGTGAAGGAGAATACATTGAACGTAACCGGGAGGGGGTGGTAGTAGTAGAGTCCTTCTCCGTATAAAGTTGCCCTAGCAACAGCCTTTAATAATGTGTTTGGAGCTTGAGCAACTACATCCCATCATAATTCTGCCTTGAGACCACCAACAAAACAATCAATTAAGGTGCCCTTTGTCATATCATCCGATCTATTAGCTAATGCCATAAGTTGTTGGAGATACTCTTCATAAGAGTCATGTTGCATCAGTTTGAAGAGCTATACTCTGGCACACTCGTAGCGTGTAGGACCGAAATGCTCCTCGATGGCCCGAGCTAAGGAAGCCTAATGGGGAACTGCCCCGATTTTAACATCATCTAAAACCATGGCACCGCTGGACCCTTCATATGTATTCCAGCCATTACCAGCCTTTGAGCATCGAAGGTGTCAAAGAACTAGAAATATTGATTAGCCCGAAAAAGCCAATCTAGAGGCTTAATTCCATCAAACTTAGGAAAGTTGACCTTAACTTGCCTAAATGGTTGAGTTGGTACTGTCGTTAGTAACTGGCTGAATGTATGAACACCATAGGACTCCGCATCCTTCTCCGCCTGGTTGGCTTCTGCCCATCGACTAAGGTTCTCAACCGATTTGGCGAAAGATTCCAAACCCCTCCAGTTTAGAGAAACGCCCTGAGGCATCATCCATCCATTCCTACGTTCGCCTCACATCTGCCTGCAACTCACGAAAACTGCATTATTAGAAACCATGGAGCCCTACTCTCAACAAAAGCACTAGATGTCACGGTTATACAAGATAATTGGCAACACAAGATATATTGATTCAATAGAGGCAGAAAGTCCAATTATTACAAGCACGTAAACAAGCAAAGGGAAATAACAGAACTGTCAGAAAATGCAGAAGGGAGAGAAAAAAAATCAGGGAGAATGATTACACAATTTTCAACAACCTTCCCTACCCCCTCCTCATTACTTAAATATAATCCAACTCACGAAGTCTCCACGGAAGTCATCGTTTGTGTTTTCTTTGGTATGGTGCCTTTTCAATCACATGTGCCTTTTGGATTGGGCTTGAATCTTCAAGCCCATACTCTGCTTTGACAACTCCTGCATTCTTATTGGGTTGGGTCTGATCATAATGGGTCATTGTCACAATGCGATGAGAAAGCTTAAAGAAACTGGGAAACGAAAGGAATGAACAAGGCATTTATAGGAGTTTGGGTGGTGAGAGAAACAAAAAATGATAAGAAATATATGAAATGATAAGAAGAATAAGATAATCAAGGCTTGTGGAGAACTCTTCCAGCCACGAGAGCAGCTTCCATGACAAGCTTGATAACTCAAATAACATCATCAACACCGCATTGGTTTCCTTTGAATGTAGCTCCACCATTCTTTCTAAATCTCTCCATACAATTTATGAGTGTTTGGCCACATTCTTAACTTAAGTAGTCATCTTTTGCATTTCATACCCACACCAATAGATTTTAGCTTTCTTGCTTACTTCTAAAACCTTTTCATCAAGTCTCCACCTTTTTTTCATATGTACTCCTTCCTATACTTAATACTCCTTTCAATCCTTGTTATATAATATCTCTAAACCTTTTTATCAAGTCTCCACCTTTTTTTTATATGTACTCCTTCCTATACCTAATACTCTTTTCAATCCTTGTTATGTGATATCTCTAATTATCTCATTGGAACCAAGGAGAAGTGATTAAATTATTAACTTTGTTTAAAAATATAATAAACTTTAAATTTTAGTCCTATTTAAATAATAGAATTCAAATTTACATTATGGGCCCAATAAGTGATTTTTAAGTAGTTTAGAGATTTTATAAAAAAGATTTATTTTGGAAAGATTTTATAAAAAGAAAACATTATTTTACATTAGGTTTTCATAATAAAAAATAATTATTAATTAGTTATTTTTTAATTTTATAATATCTACCGCATTAAATTATTTTTAGAAGTTACTTAAAGTAGCTTATTAAAATAATCAAAAATTTACTTTTTTTAATATTCTAATTATTTTTAGAAGTTTAAACAAACATCATAAAAACTAATAAAATAGGTTTTTTTTTCAAAAAATAAGTGCTTTTTTTTTATAAAATATGCTAAAACAAATGAGCCCTAAATTCTCTCTCATAAGTAATTATATAAATAAGAGTAATATTGAAAAGAAAAACCTAAATTAATATCCCATTAAGTGCCTTATATTAATCACCAAAGAATTTTTCTAAAAGACACCTTATAATAGAAATTGGAGGGAGTATAAGGCACTTCTTATAAGAGATTGATGATCTTTATCTAAGACACTTGGTGAAATATTAATTATATTTTTTAATATTACCCATATTTAAACTTATTAATTGTAATAATGTAATGTTGGTTTGAAATTTTTTATTTAAATATGGGCAAAGTTGAAAGTTTACTTTATTCTTTTTTCAAACACAAAGGTAATGCGTTAATAACTTCTCCTAGGTTTTAATAAGGTGATTATGGGTGCCTTGTAACAAGAATCGGAGGGAGCATTTGTTAAAGTCATAAAGTCTTCAAATTTTAACGTCCAGGAAAAAAAAATGGAAACAAATTAGCTATTATAATGCCATTAAACTCAAGCTTTCTATCTATCTTCACCTAAATATAAAAGAATTGAAATTTTACTATATTTTAGAGGGTTTGATTGAAAACAAGTAATATTATTTTCTTGACTATGTAACACATTACCTCCCTGTCTGTTGTTAGACAAGAGGAAACAAACAAAGATCTTTGAATTCAGCAATTATAAAATCATAACGAAATATGCGATTATGTTTTAAGTTATAAAGATCAAGCCACTTTTTTTTTTTTAATTCCATCTCCCTTTACTCATTTTTACCTAGATAGGGGGAAGAAATGACAAACGTAAATGAGAACAAGAGGAATTGGGACGGATGTTAGGGATATTAATGGCAATGTGTAATAACTTAAGGGGAAAAAAAATAACTGAAGACACTATGTCAAACAAAAGTACGTTGTGTATAAAGGATATGGAGAATAATAGTAAAATCTTGAAGAATTATTCTACCCAAAAAAAAAAAAAATCTCTAAAGATAAAACCAATGACAACTAGTAATTGAATAAAATTTTATAAACAATAAATTATAAATATTAATTCAGATAGTTGTAAAAAAATTAGTAATAAAATGAAAATTACATTTATAATTTAAATATTTTATTTATAATTAAAATCCTCAAATTTATAATTATTTAAATTAATATTTATAATTTATTTTTAAAAAATTATTAAACACCTACTCGTTATTAATTTATTTTGTCAGGATTTTTAATTCTCATTCACCCCAAAGGACTGAGATGGATATTAGGATTTATATACCATCTTTTCTATTTTTATTGAAAGCTTCATTGTCACTGTTTAAAGGCAGCCAAATAAAGGGGACAAAATCTCTTTCCTCACCCCTGAGACACTATGTTGAGCGAAGTTCCTATTTAAGATCCCACCGAACTCGAGCCAAGAATAATAAATGATAACAAAAATTAGGCAGCTATAACAAAAAAAAAAGATGAAAAATTATATTTAAATTTCACATAAAAAAATTTATTATCAAGAGAATTCATAAAATTTATAAAATATTTTTAAATCTTAAATTTTATATATTTATAACTTAACTAAAGGCATTGACAATTGGATAATGATCACTTTTTCTTAACAAGTTGTAAATAATTGTTGTCCAATTATCAATGCTTTTAATTAAGTTATAAATGTTTAGAATTTGAGATTTAAAAATATTTTATAAATTTTAGATGACCTCTTAATAATAAATTTGTTTATATAGAACCTTTATATAATTTTCTCTCAAAATGTTTGCCTACAAAATTTAGGCATTGAGCGAAGCGGCAATGGGCCAAAATGAAAAATCTACTCAATATTTCTGGAGTTGATTGGCGACCAAAACTTAAAAGACCTCTCTCTCTCTCTTTCAAATAGAAGACATTTTTCTTTTAATTTAGGCATGAGAAGATGATTTTTTAAAAAAAAAAGAAAAATGATCCCTCAAATATATTTTTTATTGCAATAGTCTTGCTGGGTTAAATCATATTAATATATGACATGAATTATCAATGTACATGCATGTCGAGAACCTCTATTTTATCATTTTTGTTTAATTTCACAAAATTTTAAACTTGGATTAAACTTTCATGGTTGAATGGTTTGATTTCTTAGAAGTTAGACAAAACGGTATCAATTTAAAGGTTCATAATAACTCTTTGGCAAAATAAATAAATAAATAAACAAACAAAAAATAAAAAAGAAAAGAAAAGAAAGTGAAAAAGGTTCATATTGCATAATCATATATATCATCAGTTAATGGTTCTAGCTTATGCTGTATGTCAACTAATCTTTCAATGCGCTGACTTTTTTAAACAAGACTAAACAAGATTATGATTCGAAATCATATGAGAGATATGATTAAAAAGATGAGCAAAGGTAAAGAACGTATATTAGTAGGTTTGTAAGCATCAATTAGCAATTTTGAAAAATCATAATAATTTCATATAGAATATATTTTGAGTGAAATATAATTTTTTGGAAAGCTTTACAAGTCTACTTTTAAATGAAAGAAATTTCACAATAAAAATAATTATATATTAAGAGATATAGAGAAATATTTAAAGGTCAGAACCAAATATTTCAAAAACTCTTAAAGTTAATGCATAAGCTCAAAGTGTTAATTGTATAATTAAACTCAAGCTAAAACTTTTTCGATATGCAAGATATATTTAAGAAAGAATTTGAGATAAATCAAATAGTTATCCCAATAATAAATTTAAAGACATTTAGAGCTTTGGATAAGATGACAAAACTTAAGCATAGAGACTAATTACCATTAATAGCCATTGAGCACAAATTAAAGTCTCTGAAAAAACAAAATCATCTTCATTTTATAATCATTAAAATTAAGGTTCAACACTTTAATTATCCTTGGAAGCTGGCAGCAAGTCTACAACGGGGTGAATTTTTCTAGTTCCAAGAGACTTGCCTAATATTTTTTGTGAAATGACATATTTGCCCATGTTTTAAAATTTGTTACTGATTTCCAATAATTAACAACCAATTACTACTTTTTTATTTGGAAATGACTAATTTTCATGGGAAAATGATAATAATGAAATATCAAATTATGAGTTCTGCACAAAATTCTTTTTATTGATGGAGTCCAACAATTAAAAATCAATTCCTTTTTTCTTTTACAAAATGACTAGTTTTCTTGAATAAATGACTATATCAGAATAACAAATTATAAGTTGCTTTGTGAAAAAATTTTATTAAGGAAATCCAACAATTAAAAATCAGTTATTACTTTCTTCAAGGAAATGACTAATTTTTTTAAAAAAATGATTAGAATATAATAATAAATTACAAGTTTTTTTGTGTAAATTTTTTTTATTAGTTAAGTTAAACAAATAAAAATCAGTTATTTCCTTCTTTTGGAAAAGGGCTACTTTTCTTGAAAAAATGATTAGAACAAAATAGCAAATTATAAGTTGTTTATGCAAAATTTGTTATTAGTGAAATTCAATAATTAAAAAATCAGTTACTACTTGCTTTTAAAAAATGATTTTTTTTTGAGAAAATGATTGGAATAGAATATAATAGTAAATTACAAATTCTGGTGGCCATCGTTCTTTTATTTTCTAGAAGGGTAAAAAAATCGTTTCACACTAAAAATAACTAATAGACAAATCACCAGAAACTAGAAAATAACATCACATTTTGTGGTATTTTATTATCGTTTACATATTTTTTTAATATTTTTCTCTCATTCTCCGGTATTTTATTATCGTTTACATATTTTTTTAATATTTTTCTCTCATTCTCCCTACATTAGTATTTTAATTAATTTTGATGATCAAACACGTTTATGTAGCTTTTTGGTCTTCGGCAAAAGAAGAGTGTTAATGTTTATAAAAAAAAAAAAAAGGAAATTTTTAGGTGGGGACCCTCAACCCAATATAATAAAAATTTTACGAATTTTTTTTTAAATTTGTGACATAAATGACCAAATTACTTTTATTTAAATAAGTAACATAAATGACTTGTTTCATACTATATGTTATTTTGAATGTTGTTCGTTTTCTTACTTCACTTGTTTATAGTTTTATTTTCATTTGATTTTATTCCAAGGGCCATAAATAAGTGAAGTAGGAAAGCAAATAACATTTTATAAGTAAATGAATAACATATAATATAGGAACGAAGAAATCTTCTTATCATGAAATCAATACTTAAAATAAAATCAAGTGAAACTATAGCTATAAATAATACTTCATAAGTAAATGAATAACATACAATATGAGAACAAATAAGTCATTTATGTTATTCATTTAAATGAGAATAATTTTATTATTTCCATCACAAATTTAATTTCAATTCTGTATGGGTCCTTCATTAAAATTTTAGAAATTTTGAGGTTCTCTTTTTGAATATGTTTGGTCAAGGGTCCCCACATGAAATTTTTCCTATAAATAAAAAAGAAGTTTTAATAATAATAATAATAATAATGGAAAACATATCTCTGGATCACAATAGTTTTATTACGTTTTGTTATATGTTCAAGGCCCTTTTAGTTTTTTTTTTCCATTTACAATGTTAGTCCTTTTACTTTTAAACATGTCTAAAAGACAATGAGGTAACCCTAATAATAGTGTTAAATTATTTTTTCTATATTAAATTATAAGATACTTTTAAAGGAATTTTTTCATTTTAAAATATAAAACACTTTGGATAAATTAATATTTTATTAAATGTGCTAATTATAATATTATTCTTTCTCTTTTTATAATTAATTTCTGTTATTTTTTTACTATATTAAATGATGTATATTTTTAAATGTTTATAATTTTATTTTAGAAGGATAAGGTTGTTAGATATATTCAATGAACTTTATTGATATGTGAGATTTTATTTAAAATTATTTTATAATTTAGGATGAAGGGAATATTTAATTTATAACTATCAAAGTTAATGAAAATACTAATATGTTTAAAACATAATGAATTGACAATTTGAACTATACAAGACAAATAACGATTGCATTTTAATGGAGACTATTTTGGCAACAACACTTGTGAGTAGCAAAAAGTGATTTTTAGTCATCGTGAGTCAAATCTTTTACCTTATACATTAAATGTTTTAATTTAATTTTATTGATGTCACATCATCATTTCTGTAGACATATTCAAAAATAAAAAAACTGATGACGTAAGTAAAAAAAATTATAAAAACTTAAAATATTAAAAAAAATACAAAAACTAATATCAACACTCAATAAAATTATACCAAAAAGGCAGAACGTTATATTTTTCCTCGTATTAATAATAATTTGAAAAAACGAGGGGCCTCCCAACTCCCAAGCACACATCGCGGTTGAAGTTGGAGAGAGGTATGCGTTGATGTGGAGAGGAGCTGTGGAAGTGTGAGGGTTTTGCTAAAACCTCATCGTTGTCTTCTTCAAAGCTCTCTTTAATTTCGAAATGAATGCGCTGCGCCGAGCATCACGAGTGGTTGCTTCTTCGGCCACTGTGACGGAGCGCCTTGTTTCATGTCCCACAACCTTCATTCGTCAGTCCTATGCCACTGCTGCCCCTCGTCAGAGATCCAAACGCGTCGACGAACCTTCGCCCCCTTCAAAAGACGTCGCCGTTTCTGAAAGACAAAGGCCCAGAGAGATTCCGTATCAGCCCAAGGCTGCAAATTTCGTCAACCTCATTGGTCAAGTCCATATGCCAGTTCAGTTTCAAACTTCTCCCGATGGCAAGACTTGGGCTACCACCGTTATTATACGGGAGCTCACTTCTGATTCTTCCCATCTTTGGTAGGTAAACTTCGGTTTTCCATGCCCTCACTGAGATGCATATTATTTTTTTTTTTTAAAAAACAATTGTGTGGTTTCTATGGTAGTTTTATTAATATTTCAATGCATATCTGTCCTTATTGTTAGTTGAAATCATCTGTCATGACGTGAACGCCATTATTTACTCAGTAAATATATATGCCACATTGGTGAAAATACTATTGGTTCATGATTCATTTTCTTTTTATTGAAGGGTAGCTCTAAGTGATGCTGTATTCTATAGAAATATTGGCACAGGTTGAAGCTATGGAAAAGTTGATAGATGTGGTATATTATACCATAATAAATAGATTCCAAGTTTCGTAAGAGTGGGAGTATTTCTTGCTTTTTAACAAGTTGCTAAAGTTGATTAATAGGAAAATGATTTAGAGAAAGGGCATGTCCTAATACGTGTTTCTTACTTGTTCTTCATTGGATAAGTTCTTACATTTTTAGAAATTGTCAGATTCGTGCTCTAAAACCAAATTGCTACTGGACATTCATTTAAGGCCAACATCGATTACATTGTTCTAAAACTCAAATGTTTCAATGTGTCGGAAGATTAGCTAAGTTGTCTAAAGGCCAACGTCAATTACATTGTTCTTATATTAGGAGATACATGAGGTGAAGTTATATCTTATTACAAGTTATATAACTGGTGTCTACATCTAATTTCTTCTTTTATTTGAAAATTGTTTTGATTTGGTACTTGCTATATCAATTTGGTCATGGAAATGTTGAAATATGGTCATCAGCATGCTTTTTAGTTCCATCTACTTTTGAGTTCATATCCGTTTCCTTTCTCATTATATAAGGATTCCGGTAAAATTTGAGGGGGATTTGGCTCATGTTGCCGCTTGCCATCTGAAAGAAAATGACTACATACATATTGCTGGAGAGCTCAATGCAGGTTCATCTTATTCAAATGAAAGTAAAGGCCAAAGCAATGTTCAGGTATATTCCAATTGGAGCCCTTATGTTCACGTGCAATATTGGATGCCATAATTAATTGTGACACATGCATTGTTTTGTCCTTAAGTTTTTTTTTTTACTTGTTTATATTATAGTAAATTTGGAAGTTGTTGAACGAGATCTCTTAATTAACAATATTTTTAAAGGTTTAGTTGTTGATAGAGCAAAATAGCATTGTGCTATCCATATAGGTGACCCCATCTAGTGGGATAAGGCTTGTTATGATCATTGTCATTGTTTATTTGAGTAAGTTTTAATTTTACAACTTTTGAAGCTATTTGTGTTGTCATAGTTTAAGTTGAATCCATATTTGTTTACCAATGGGGATAACATGATAGTTACCATTTGTTCAGTACGTTTATCTCATGCATTTGGGCCCCTATTAGACATGCTTGAAAGCTGTTAGATTGATTATATAATGTTCACATCTTTGGTTTAATCGTATTAGGTTTTGGTACAAAGCCTCAACTTTGTCCGTGGATATCCTTTATTGAAGGAAATATCTGCAGCATCAAAGCAACAGGGGATCTCAGATTCATCTGGTAATCTGTCGCTTCTGGTTAATTTTTCTTTCTTTTGATATGGAAAATTGGGGATGAGATGAAAATAATAAGAATATGCAAACAGTTAGAATCGAATATTCCAAATATTTAATATTTAGCATGGGTCATTAGAATTGAATGTATATGTACTAATATTAACAATACTGTATAATATACAATATTAAAGTAGCATGAAGTAAGACAGTTGGACAAAATAGCATTTATATGTTACAGTGAACAATGATTATTTTCTTATGTTGAGGAATCATGTTTTTATGAATGCTTGTGACAATTGCAAAGGCCCTTTCTTCTGTGAAGATTTGTTTATGATGTCTTTTCTCACATTTAGTTATCATTAATGTCTATTACAAAGAGTGAATTTTATACCATAACAATGTCTCACCATTGTTTGCTTTACCATTCCAACATCTCTGTCAAATATTAGGAAAACCAAGTCTATATAATTTTGTGATGGTATTAAAGTTGCACGACGACTTGTTAGTCTGTCTAAGCTTGTAGCACCATCATCTGCTTTTCCATTGAAGTTTGTGCTGTTCTGCTGCTTGGCAATAAAAACGAACTTGAAAGTTTTTGACATTATGTTGAGTCTATCTGAGCAAGTGATAAGCTCAACACACTGAGTGATCTAACATTTTTTATCTGATTTATCTAGTGGGAAATGTTGTTGTTGTGATTGTTGTGTATATTTACAGACAGTACAAAGAAGAACTCTGGCTGTACAAAGAACTCTGGCTCTGACCCTTTGTTGAGTTCTTGGAGAGAACTTCTGAAAGATCCTAAGGAATGGTGGGACTGCCGGGACAGTAAGCGCAAACGATTGGTAGTGATTGATGGCCTTTAACTTGATATTTTTCTCTGACTGATATGTTCTGGGAAGCCTCAGTTTTCTCAAATATATATAATAGGTAAATTTTAATCACCCTGATTTCAAGCGCAAGGATGGGACTCTCTCACTGTGGCTTGATAGGGCCCCAATATGGGTTCTTTCTGAACTTGAAGGATTGGAATTTGATGCTTTGATTCTGAAATCCAAGCAAGCAAAGGAACAGAATGGTTCGGATCTGAAATCCAAACAAGGAAATGAACAGAAAGGTCTGTATGAATACACTTCATGTTCTTGTGGTTGGATCTTTCTAATTCTGATGCAACCTAATCATTATTGGTGTGAATAGAGTTAATTTAAACTTTAAAGCTATTCTCAGTTTTTGGCTACTTGAGTTTGTATCTAGATTGAGAAGAATCTGCTTTTTAATTTTTTATAGCCTTGATATGTTCTCTACATTATGTTTGCTGAAAAGTTTAAAGATCTCTGGCACTTTCATTTCCTTATATGTTCATTTTTTTTCCCATCTTTGCAACATTAATCTCAGGATTCCTCATCTCCTACTACAATCCCCACTTCGCCTGAAAAACATGTGATATGGAATGGAAAGAATTAATATATCGATATCAATATACAATATTTAATCTATAGCAAAACACATGATTCTCAAGACATGAATATTGCAACCTGTTCCTTTGACTATATTCAATGCCATTCTAAGACAATTTTATGTTTCTATATGATCTAAAAGAACCTGAAGGATGATGGAAGACTCCTACTAGGAGTAAGAAACCTATAATATTATTATTGATTTTGGTACCTCTTAGGTTCATCAGATTTCTTGTTTTGTTAGAATTACTTTTTAGATTTAGTTTGGATTTGGATTCGATTTGAATGACTGTGATCTTTTAGATTATTGGGGTAAATTTTTATGGATAGAAGCAAAAATACTTACAAAGTGGTTAGCCAGGGGTAGCTAATATTCTAAAGTGAGGAAAAAGGGCATAAATACACTTAACATTGCATGAGTGGTTGCAAAAGTGATTAAACCGTTCACTTTGACCTAATACATTAACTTTGACCGTTAAATGCTGTCTGTGCATGCTACGTGTCAATCTTTGTTAACATAGACTAATAAAGGAGCAAAAATACTCACGAAGTCGTTGGTCAGTAGCAAAAATACATATAACGTTACCATAGGTGGTGCAAAAGTGACAAATCGATCAAATCCCTTAAATGTTGATTGTTTAGCTGACATCTAAGTGGAAGTTGACTATTTTTTTTTTTTTTTGCTAATGTAAACAAATAATATTCTCAGATGAATTTTTACAGGGGTTGATCGATCATCTTATGAGTACCTATAATGTTACTTTAGTAGGTGCAATAGTGACTAATCCATCAAAATTTATGCCACGTGGTCTCTTTCCATCGCCACGTATCTTGCTCCCTTCCTGCCTTCCTCTCCACTCATTTTTCTTGTCTACAGAACTTGAGATTCAACATAGTGAGATAGGTTATACACAATCAAAAATCAAAACTGAGCACCTCTTATGCTGCCCTATTTTAAGAACATTGTTACAACCTTAAGCAATTTCATTCATGATGGGTTTAAAATTTTCAAATGGTTTTTACCACTGTTATAAAAAAACAAACGATTTAATTTGATATTTAGTTAAAACGACATTTTCTCACATGATATTCATACAATGACTGATTAACTTTTAGAGAATTTCATTTGGGATTATTTTTTTGTCCATGTCAATGAAAAATTGGTTAACTTTTGCTTAGGTGTCAACTAAATGATCAACAGTTAAGGGATTGGATATATTGGTCACTTTTGAATCAACTCTGATAATATTATAAGTATTTTTGCTCCTAGCCGACAACTTTGTTAGTATTTTTGCCCCTTTATTAGTTTACGCCAGCAAAGACTGACATGTGCCATGCACAGTTGGCATTTAACGGTCAAAGTTAACATTGTTAAGTCAAAGTTAATAGTTTGGTCACTTTTGCACCCACTCATATAACATTATGAGTATTTTTGTCTTTTTTCTCTCTTTAGGATGCTGAGTGTCTTTGGCTGACCATTTTGTAGGTATTTTTGCCTCTTTATCCAACTTTTATTTAACTATTAAGATCTCTTTAGACTATCTTTTATTATTAGGGTTAGGTTAGGGCTCCGTAAATAAAGTTAGAGCTTATTTGTTTGTTAGGCCTTTTGGTAAATTGAATAAAATTGAGGATTTTGTGATCACTTTCTCCCTTTAGTTCTCTCCTCCCTCAGTTCATCCGGTTCTCTCTTCTTTCTTGCGTCTCTCTCTCTCTCCCCCTCATCTTTGTTGTTCTACATCAATTGGTACCAAAGCCTAGTTGTTTCCTTGCTTCTATCTCCAGGAAACTCAATGTACCATTACATACATTGTTTATTTTAAATTTACATAGCTCTTGACATTCGATCCAATCCTTCCACAAGAATCATTGCCAGCATTGACTGTTAATTACTTTGATCGCTGAAGGATTCCCCACATCATTCAGCTGTCTTGAAGTATCAGCAGCTCTACTCTTTGAAGGAGAATTTTTTCAAGCAAGGGAGGTGGGAGACTCCACTTGCCTAGTAGGAGTAAGAAATCCTAGAATATTAGATTGATTTTATGATATCTTTTAGATTCTTAGGATTTCTTTTTTTATTAGAATTACCTTTTAGATTTTGATTTAGATTAGGATTTGGCTCGAAGAGATGTAATCTTTTATGCTATTAGGGTAAACTTTGATCCAAGTATTGAGACCTTTTATCTTTTTATTATTAGGTTCAGGGTTAGAGCTATATAAATAGAGCTTCTTTTTTTTTTTTTTTGTTAGACTTTTTGATGACTTGAATAAAATCGAGTATTTGTGATCACTCTCTCTCTCTCTCTAGTTCTCTCCTCCCTCAATTCATCTGGTTTCACTCTCCTTTCTTGCTTCTCTCTCTTCCCCTTCCCCATTGTACATCAAACCCTAATGAAACTAATGGCCTGGGAAATTTTAGCATGAGGCTCAGGTATTCTAATTCAAGACATGAAATAAATACTCATCCTACAATAGGATAAGTTTCCCTAAGACCCAAATGACTGAATTTAAAACCAGAAATTAATATAAATAAATCATAAATCTCCAATGACAAACTCTGATTTTCATATTATAAATATGTTATGAATATCTGATTCTTATTCTTTTTTTTTTTTCCTTTTTTCTGGGGTGAATATGTGATTCTTGTTCTTACTATTCGTTCATGGTACATCAATATGTGTTTTGAGGTCATGTGCTTTCACTTGGTATAGATGATGCAAGTTGGAGAGGCGTGGTGGAAAACCCAGATAAATGGTGGGATAATAGATCAAATAAGGTAACCTTGGTTTCTTAGTTATTTTTTGGTTGTTTCATTTTGGTGAAAATTTGCATGTCGTTGTTACAGTTGTATATACATTGTGGAATAAGGCTTGTTATTGTGGAGCATCTGATACTTAAAGTTTATGTATTGGATTGTGTTCATGTCATTCCTTTCGATTATCAGAAAAATGAAAGATATCCTGACTTCAAGCACAAAGAAACCGGTGAAGGATTGTGGCTGGATAGTTCCCCAAGTTGGGTATTGCCAAAGTTGCCACCCATAAAGGCGAAACAAGTAGAACCTAGTACCAAACAAAACCTGGTTTCATGAGATGACAGCACAGAATCAGTTCTTTTCACCATGCTCATGTTTGACGTTCCTCTGTTGGTGGCATTCTCTTTTTTGGGAAAATAACTACAAAGTCCCTTGAGAGATTCTACTTACCATAAAATCCTATGAAGTGTGCAAATTACCCTCAAATCTCAAATCCTTTGTTAATAAATTTTATGTATAATTACTAAAATACCATTATTTTATGTATAAGGCTAAAATTCCCTTGTATCCCCATTGCTGTCCATCCAGCCACTGGGCACCTGCTAGCAGTTGGAGCTCCACTGACCGTCTGTGGATGGGTTGACCTTTTTTTTTAAGAGAAGTAAAATATGAGTATTTTAGTAATTATGCATAAAATTTATTAATAAATAAAGGATTGGGATTTGAGGTAATTTGAGCATTCCATGGGACTTTATGGTAATTAGAATCTCTATGAGAGCCTTTATAGTGATTTTCCCTTCCCCCACACAAATCACCACGACGACTTCATGACGTTCTGATTTTTATCTTCACAAATTTCCTTTTATACTGATTTCTCATGAATCGGTGTACAAGTTGTCTCTTAGGACAATTATGATGACTGTTGGAAGTTTGAGACAATGGTGGATCTCCTGCACATTTGATGTTCAGCTGATACATACAATGGGCCAAATGTGAATTCTATTGTGATCTTTACAATTCCAAAGGGAAACAGTTATCAAGTCTGTAGTCTTTCTGACCCCCAACCCCAAATGTGAACAATTTTTACAAGGTTTACGATTGAGTTATAGGGAACTAAAGGAAAATTTGATGATAAAAAAAGAAAAAAAAATTACATATAGAATTTATGGAGCAGATTTATTTATAAATAATTTTTTTGAAATTCAAAAGCTACAATCAAGTCTCTGAAGAGACTTGAGTGTAATTTAAATTGGGAGTATGATAAAATAAGGCCATTATTAAAAATAAATTATATCAATTAAGTAACTTACAATTATTATATTAATTTTTTACAATTATAATTTTATATATTCAGTGGCTAAATTAATATTATGTTACAAGTTTAATAATTATGTATAATTGTTTTATCAGTAATTTATAATTATCATTTTAATATTTTATAATTATAACTTTATATATTTAAATCGGCTATGTGATATTGATTAAATTTAATATTAATTATTTATAACTGTCTTATTAGTAATTTATAACTATTTTTAAGTTTCTTATTATTGTAATTTTATTTATCCAAGAGTTAAATTGATTATATATTATTAATAAAGTTTAACACTAATTATTTATAACTATTTTATTAATAATTTACAATTATTATTTTAATTTTTTACAGTTGTAATTTTATATGTTCAATAGTTAAATTAATTAGTATTATTTTTGAACTTCAATTTCAAATCACACTTTGGTCTCAATGATCTGTCTGTAATTTTTAAATTTTATAAGATTTATTTGTAAATAAATATGTTTTACAAGTTCTATACATAATTTTTTGCAAACAAATTGGAGTTACATTTATCAATCATGCTCATGCCGCTATACCATTGATCATTGATGCTAAAATGTCAGATAATATGGTATCTTCGTTGAAATTCATACGTGTTGTTTTAAAATATTATTGTAATTTAGTTCATGAAAGATTAATTTTAAAAAAAATTATCTAAAATCATTTTTCAAATATTTATTTAATCATACCGATTCTTTCAACTGGTTAAAGAGGATTGTATGTGTGATTGTAGTGCATCCAAAGGTAACTGTATCCGCAATGGTGGTCCACCCAAAAAAAAAAAAAAACAAGAAAAAGATGGTGATAAGAAAAGCGTTTTGTACTCTGGGCTCATCAGCCAAAAAGCTAATCCTTTATTTCGTAACGATTTTTGTTGTTCATTCTAAATTGATTTTTAAGTATTTTTAATATTGAATTTGCTAAAATAAAAATTTTAAAAATTAATATTAAATCTGGACAGTTTTTTATGAGTAATGAGCACCATCCTTTATGAGATCAAGATCGTTTATATTTAAAGTTGGGGGAATTACACATAAATACCACTGAAATATGGGTATCCCAAATAAGGCCCGCGAAATGGTTTAATGATTTTGAAATTCCTTGGGACTTCTCTGAAATTAAGGGTTTTAATGAAATATTAAAATTGTCCTTAAAAAACTACCTCTTCATCCTCCAGCACACAGAAATTATCACTTTCCATTTTCGCCTTCAATTTCTCTCTACTGTGGAAACACTCAAGGCTCATAGGCAAAGGCTAGCTCTTCCAATTTCACTCTCAAGTTGGGAGACTCCACAAATTGAGGCACTCCCAATATTTGTCTCCCATTCTTTGAAAACAAGTTGAAGCTTCACTTTCGTGCGACGTCTTCCCTGCAAACTAATACGGCTCTTTCTTAAATTGGGATGTGATAAAACAAAATGGTTTTGAACTTTGAAGTAGTTTCTGGGTTGGTAAATAAGTAGTTGAGTTTTTTTTCCCCTGAATGAGATGATGCTTTTTGTAGTTTCAGAATGGGGCTATGAGATTAGTTTTTCATTTTCAATAAAACTTCACCAAAAATCTCAAAAATAAGATTCTTAGGTTGTTGGAGGAAGGAGAAATGTGGCAAATACCTAATCGATGGAAAAGGCATATTGTTGAGAGAGATTAACATTAGAATTGGTAATGTGTGAAATGTTGCAGATGTCAGAGCCATTGTGTGTACCAGAGCTAAGAGGGGGTAACAATTTCGCTGAGGTTATAGACAACTATGATATTAAGGATTAAAGAGGGAAAATGAGGGATTTTAATAAAAAAGGAAAAAAATGAATTTCTCCCCTCCACCCCAATTTGGAGGGAAGGATGGGAGGGAAGAGGAGGAAAAATTGTACTCTCTCCTCTCCTCGATTACAGTATTATCAAATAAGGGGAAGAGAGTCTGGAGAAGTTTTAAAGAAGTTTTCTTTAAAAAAAAAAATATGAAGAAAGTTAGGAAGGTAATGGCCCTAAAATTGTTAGTCCTAGATAAGTTTTTTGATATCTAAGAGTGATTAAGTCATTTTAAGGTCTTAATTTAAGATTTCTATATTTTTTCATGGAAATGTTTCTATCATTCTCTCTTTAATTTTTTATTTTTTTATTTTATATTTATCAAAATAAATCTTTTTAATAAATTTATTCATTACCAATCTTATCATTGCAAATTTAATCTGAACAATTTACTTTAATATTATTTTTTTTATATTTTTACAAATTAATTATCCATGTGCACTTTGAATAGTACATGCTTACTATTTTTTTCTTTTATAATTTTTATAAATTTTTATTTTGATAAATACAATTTTAAAATAACTAAAAATCAATGTAGATTATACCGTAGGGACTAGGGGTCATTTCAAAATCAAAATGAAAGGCGAATTGCCCGTTTGGGAACATCATATTTGACATTCAAAAAGTAATTTTTTTACTTTCAAAAAGTTTAACGTTGTTTGAATACAATTTTTTTTTGTTTTTGTCTAAAAGGACTTTGTTGAAAACAAATTCAAATAGGTCCTGAAAGTGAATTTTGCCTATTGAAGTATTTGGAGCTTTCGAGGTATACATTTGTTAATGCAAAGCAAAGGTGACGGTCACCATGTCGGACAATGGTGACTGCCATCACACGCGACTCCAAAAAATGAATATAGATTACTACTTCACACGTGTTATTTGGACATTTTCTAGTACTACTTATTATTTAACAAATTAAATTGCAGTTAAAATTAGATACTCAATATTGTAAAATAAAAATTCTTTTAGAAGAAAATTTTTATTTTATTTCATATATTTTTTAAAAAATTCAATGTAAAACTTGTTAATGTTTTTATCATCTCTTATTTATTTTTACAAACATTTAACTAATCTATTATTGTTATCACATATTCTTCAAACATTTCTAATATATTGTGTTTACATAAAAAATTACAAATCAATGTTATTTTATAATTATATATTTAAAAGTATATTTCACTATGTATAATCTAAACAATTTGCAATTTATCAAGCTAGCTTCTCAAAGGATGTATTTAATTAAACATAAATTTCATTACAATAATTAATTTTTATTAAATTAATTTTTGTCAAATTAACCTTTGATAAATTCACTTTGAACTAATGAAATATGAAAGTGGCTTGTTCCTTCTTGTCAATGTAAAAATAGATGAAATGATGAGAAGAAGAATAAGATAATCAAGGCTTGTGGAGAACTCTTCCAGCCACGAGAGCAGCTTCCATGACAAGCTTGATAACTCGAATAACATCATCAACATTGCATTGGTTTCCTTTGAATGTAGCTCCACCATTCTTTCTAAATCTCTCCATACAATTTATGAATGCCTGGCTGCACTCTTGACTTAAGTAGTCATCTGCATTCCATACCCACACCAATAGATTTTAGCTTTCTTACTTCTAAAACCTTGTCATCAAGTCTTCAACATTTTTTCATGTGTACTCCTTCCCATACTTAATACCCTTTTCAATCCTTATTTTAAGTTATCTCTAATTATCTAATTGAAACCAAGTAGAAGTGATTAAATTATTAATTTTTTTTAAAAAAATATAGCAAACTTTCAATTTTAGTCCTACTTAAATGAAAAAAAAATCAAATTTACATTATATTTTCTCTCATAATTAATGATATATATAAGAGTAATATTGAAAAAATTTAAATTAATATCCCGTTAAGTGCCTTATATTAAGGATCAAATAATTTTTCTAAAAAACATCTTATAATAGAGACTGGAGCCAGTATAAGGCACTTTTTATAAGAAATTGATGATCTTTAATCTAAGACACTTGGTGAAATATTAATTACATTTTTTTAATACCACTCATATTCCAACTTATTAATTATAATAATGTAATGCAGATTTGAATTTTTTATTTAAATGAGTAAAATTGAAAGTTTACCTTTTTCTTTTTTCAGACACAAAGTTAGTGCATTAATCACTTCTTCTTGGTTTTGATGAAGTGATTAAAGGTGCCTTATAATAAGGATTGGAGAGAGTATTTGTTAATGTCATAAAGTCTTCAAATTTTAATGTCCAGGGAAAGAAGATGGTAACAAATTAGCTATGATAATGGCATTAAACTCAAGTTTTCTATCTATCTTCACCTAAATATAAACGAATTGAAATTTTACTATATTTCAGTGGGTTTGATTGAAAACAAGTGATATTATTTTCTTAATTATATAGCATATTACCTCCATATCTGTTGTTAGACAAAAGAAAACAAACAAAGATCTTTGAGACAATGAAACAAGAGGGATTTTTTTAATCATTATGCTTTTGTAAGTTATATAAAAATCAAGCCATTTTTTTTTAATTCCTTCATCCTTTACTCATTTTTACCTAAATTGGGAAGGGGGGGGGGGGGAATGACAAACGTATATGAGAACAACAGGAATTGGGACGGATGTTAGGGACATTAATGGGCAATTGGTACTTAATTAAGAAAAGAAATGAAGACAGTATGGTCAAACAAAAGTACGCTATATATTTTGACAGGGAAAATAATAGTAAAATCTAGAAAGATTATTCCATTAAAAAATTTAAAAAAATCTTGAAAGATAAAATCAATGACAATTAGGTATGGGATACAATTTTATGAAAAATAAATTGTAAATATTAATTTAAATAATTGCAAATAAAAAAGAAAAAATAATAATAAAATCTCTTCGAATTATATAAATGACATTTGACCCTTCAAAATACCATAATACCAATAAAGTCTTTAAGGACTTTTTTGTGATTAATAAATTAATATAAATGATTAAATTGTCTTTAGTTCAAATATTAATTGTCATTTATAAGTTTTGTTTTAAGATTTACAATTTTTTTAACATCGTAAGAATTTAACAGCAATTCGCAAGTTCACATTTGAAATCTCGATATTCTTCAAATGTTGCAAATATCAATTGCCATTCATAAGATTTATTCTAAAATTCACAACATTTCTTCTTGAAATCGCAAGAATTCAATAGCAATTTATAAGTTCATATTTGAAATCCTATATTCCTCAAGTGTTGCAAATACTAATTGCCATTTATAAGTTTTGTTTTAAGATTTACAATTTTTTTTTTGAAATTGCAAGAACGCAATAGCAATTCGCAAGTCCGCATTTGAAATTCTAAACTAAAGTCAATTTGATCATTTATATTAATGTTTTAATAATAGAAAAGTCTCTAGAGATTTTAGAAAAATTATAACACTTTAAGAGATCAAAATATCATTTATATAATTTTAAAAAAATTTTATTGTCATTTTTTCAATAAGAAACTAATGAAAAAATGAGAATTACATTTATAATTTAAATATCTTATTTATAATTAATATTTTTGAATTTATAATTATTTAAATTGATATTTGTAATTTATTTTTTCAAAAAAATATTAAAACTTATTTGTCATTAATTTATTTTTTCTGGACTTAATTCTTGTTCTCCCCAAAGGACTGGGATGGATACTGGGGATACTGTGACTTACTCATATACCATCTTTTCTATTTTTATCGAAAGCTGCATTTTAAAGCCAGCCAAATAAAGGGCACAAAATCTCTTTCCTCACAGCTAAGACACTATGTTGAGCAATGTTCCTATTCAAGATATGACCAAACTCGAACCAAGCATAATAAATGATAACAAAAATTAGGCAGGTATGAAAAAAATGTGTACCTAAAAATTTAAGCATTGAGGGGAGCAGCAATAGGCCAAAATCAGAATCTAGTCAATATTTCTAGAGGTGATTAGTGACTTAAACTTAAAAGACATTTTTCTTTTGTTTTTCTTCTTTCTTTTTTTTTCCTTGATAGAAGACCCTTTTCTTTTTAATTTAGTCATGAGAAGATGATTTTCTTAAAAAAGAAAATTGATCCCTCGAATATTGTTTTTAGTGCAATGATCTTGCTGGGTTAAATCATATTGATATGTGACATGAATTATGAATACAAATGCATGCTTAAAACCTCAAAATTTGATCATTTTTGTTTATTTTCACAAAATTAAAAAATTGAGTTAAACTTTTATGGTTGAGCCGTTTGATTTCTGAGAAGTTAGACAAAACGGTATCAATTTAAAGGTTCCTAATGTCTCTTTGGCCCAAAAAAAAAAAAAAAAAGAGAGTGAAAAGGTTCGCATTACATAACCGTATCATTAGGGGCGGAACCACACCAGTAAGGTTGGGGGGGGGGGGGAGGGGGGAATTTTGTAATATAAAACTATATATAGATTAAGTTATTTAATTTTTATTAATAATTAAAAATGATTTTACAATGGAACTAAGAAAATTTATATGATAATAAATCATTTATATAAGACTTAAAAATAAGAAAAGAGTTTTCCAAAGTATATAAAAAACTCACTTTATAAAATTTAAAAGAAACTAAAAGTATATTTATGTTTTATCTACTATTGCTTATAAAAATTTTTTTAGTTTTATTTATAAATCATTTTTAACATATTTTATTGAAATTAATAAAATATTAAAATTTATTAACTTTGTTTAAAATTTTAATAAATTTTTAATTTTGACTCTATTAAATATATATACTTTAATGATATATATAGTTTATCTCTTTAATATTTAATAGATGATAAAAGAAAAAATTTATGATAAAAATTTAATGTTTTAACTTATAAATAAGATAAAAAAATACCTATCGCTTTACTCCACAAGTGAAAAGGCAATACATGAATAATTGTAAGGACTAGAAAGTGATGAATGTATACCTGCATAGAATTAAGGAGTAAGAAATACACAGTAAAAATATGATAAAAATGAAAGTTGAGGAATCAAAATAACAATTTTTTTTTTTTATAGAAAATCATCCTACAATTTGATAAAAAAATTTTTTAAAAAAATCTGGGAGTTGGGCCTATACCCTACCTAGGTCCGCCCCTGCATGTCATCATCAGCTGATGGTTCTAGCTGATGCCGTATGTCCACTAATCTTTCAATGTGCTGAATTTTTTAAACAAAAGACTACCGTGTGATGGAAGAATTTAGAATTAAAGTGTAAAAATACTAAAAACTGTTTTTTTTTTTCTCCAAGAGTTGTTGATGTTCCTAAATCAATAATGATGTTTGGGGTATTCAATAATTTCATAAAAGACATTGACCATCCATCATTAGTTAAGTTCTATCCTTAACAATGTTACCAACATCATTATATTTTTATGGATTAAGGAATGCTGACTTTTTTTATAAAATTAATAGGTATCAATACACTTTTATTAATTTTAAAATATTAAAAGCTTGCTCAAAAATTTTTTAAATATTTTTACAGCTTAATCGAAATAGAATTTAATTGGAAAACTTCAATTTTCACATTTACTATCAAAACAAGACTAACAGACTAAATCAATCAAAATTTCCTATCACTACTACAAATGTATCAATCAAAATGTCTTATCACCTAACTACTACCAGCGCTAGTTCCTTTCTATTCAAGACTTGATATTGAAAAAAGATTTCGTTGGCTTGATTAAGACACACCACCGACACCAGTAGCTTACGCTGATACTTATTAATTAATCTCTCTCTATTATCATCTTCTCCAATCTGAATATCAAAGCCTTAGGACCAAAAATAGCATTTGTTTCCAGAACAGTTAATTTCTGAGCACAGGGATCAATACCTATAATTAAAGCCACTTTCACAGTTTTCAGTCCAATATACTAAAGATTACATTCCTCGACTGTGATACCAAAACAGTCACAAAATCAAAATAGACGCACAAAATTTGTTTTCAATTAAATTACGAGATTGTTTCAAGTTCAATTGAATTGAACAAGATACTACAAAATCCAAATCGTTAAGAAGGTATCAGATCCGATGAACTAACTCGTTAATCTATCAGAATCTGGAAAGCAAGCAGAGTAATATAAAAGGGTGTTAAGAAATGGTCGAATGAAACGTACTGTTTTTGGCTTGCACACATTGATCGTGCTTCATACAACAAGCATCAAGTCCGTCACAAGGAGCTTCTCCAGGACATCCACTGTACAGAAGCCCACAATACTTGCCATATCTCAGTAATGGAGGTACTATTATCATTGAGAGAAACAGCAATTAAAATCAATTTAAGCTTAATCACCAAAAATCAAGCAAAAGAAGAAATCAAAATTGGTGAATATAAGCGTGAATGTACGTACCAGAACAGAAGCTTGATTCACAGGTTCTGCTGCATTCCTTGCTCTGCATATCAATCAAAGGAAAGAAAAATAACCAGAAGAGAACGAATTAGAAGAATCGATTTTCTTGTGTTGAATCTGAATGTATGTGCTTGTTTGTGGATGAAGAACGGATTAAGAAGTAGCTAACCACAGAGACGGCGGCGATTCCGGTGGTTTCAGCTCCGATGTTAAGGGCAAATGAGGGGATGGAGAAGAAACTGAGGATGAATGTGAGAGAGAATAGAAGAGATTTCATGGATTTGAGCATTTTTGTGAGATTAATTTCGAAGTTGAGAAGCTTATTGGTTTTGCTTAAAGGCTCTAATTTATAGGAGAAAATGACGAACAGAAGAGAGAGATCAGATTGTGGGAAAGTGTTCAGAGTCACACAAGGAGGGGCACGAAGCTCAGAAGTCAGAACAGAGAATTGAGGCTGGTTTTGTTTTGTAGTGACTCGTGATTGTTTCTTTTTCTTTTTCTTTTATTTTTTTTTGGGGTCAAACTCGTGATTGTTTCTATTATTCAGCATTATCTTATATAAAAAATTCTAGTTTTCATCGTCATTGGTTTATAACATTTATCACACCACAATTTTTTTATATAAGAAATTAATAATTAATAATTAATAACTAACGACTTCAAAAGCTCAGTTAGTGGATTCAGTGAAAAACTCATTGGATATAATGAACAATTATTGATTATAATGTACGTATCTCCCTATCTTCAATAAACAAATACGTTCAATTAAAAATGGTAGAAAGATATGCTTTACGATAATGTTATAAAATATGAAAATCCATTGAAAATGTAGATCAACAATATAAGCATATGATTTTGTGAAATATGAAAATCCATTGAAAATATAGATAAAAAATATAAGCATATGATTTGTAAAATATGAAAATCCATTGAAAATATATTCAATGTTAGAATCATATAACTTAGTAAATTAAAACAAAGGGTAATAAAAACCACATTTATATACTCGAAATATTTTAGGACAAGTAATTAGTATACTTAATTACAAAAATGAGCAATGCCCTTCTAATATTTTTAAAATAGTGCAATGTGACCCAAATATAATAAATGCTTAAAAAGAGTTAAAAACACACTAGTCCCATGAGTGTAAAAAAAAAAAAAAAAAGGCTTAAACCATCCGTTTAAAACAACCAAATTGGTCCACGTCTACTATAGAATCTACCACATATAGTAGGAAAGTATCACACATCCATTAGACAAACATTCACATATATAGAACCTATCAGTAGGGTCGTATAAAAGACTGAATAGTATTAAATTTTGACCTAATATAAAATTTAGTCTTTTTCATGAAAAAGATTTGATTAGGCAACCCATAGTTCAATCTTATTTAGTGATAACCTGAAGATTAATAAGATTGAATTTAATCCAAGGATTGAGAGACTGGTCCTGTTAGTTCAGTATTCACTTAGTTTTTTTTTTGTTTTTTCTCTGTGAGAAGCAATAATCTATTTCAACCTAATAAACTTAATCAAAATAATAAAAATATTTATAATCATAATAAATCTATAATAATTTCCAACAATAAGAAAAAAATATTTTAGTTACAATCTAAATGATTTAAATTTATAACTTCAAGAAAAACAATACTCAACAAACTTCAACAATACTACATAACAATAATAATTTAGAAACAAACTCAATAAATATTCACGCAATCATCTCCTTAGCATTAATTACACTTAAAACATTTGTCAAAAATAAATTAATTATAATTATATTAAATAAATTAATAGGATAGGATTTGACTAAGTGGTCCAAATGCCCAATCTCTTGTCCAGTCCAACTCAAAATAATAGTCTAGTCTTTTTAGTCTTTTTGACGATGAAGAACCAATGTTTATATGAACCAATAGAACTAGACCATCTTGGATTAGACTGGGTCAGATAGGATCAAAGGACTTTTGCACAGCCCTACTATCAAGTAATCCAACATGTACTACCAGTATAGTTAACTAATGCAAATCCATGTAAGCTCAGCCAACTCTTGCAAGCAACCTAGGCAAATCTCTAGTTTTAAACTAATAAATTATCATGCATCAAGCCATAGTGCAACATTAATATACATAAATCTCCTAAAGAGAATGACAAAGATATCTCAAAAGGATTAATTAATTAAAGTTAGGACCTAAGTACCAAACTTTAGAAAGTTACAACTCAATCTCTTAATTTTGCAACTGCATTGTGATGAATTTTTAATTTATTTTTTAAATTTTAACATAATTGAAAAATTTTAAAAATTTATTTTTTATTTTATAATTTGGAATACAAGTTACAAATTCATCACAATGCAATTGCAAAATTGAGAGATTGAATTGTAAATTTATGAAATTTGACATTTATGATTTAACTTGAATTAATTGGTCTTTTTGAGAGCTCTCTCTCATTCTCCCAATCTCCTCACTACAAGGCTTGGAGGCTAAGAATGTCTCAAATGTGAAATAATAGACATAAATCTAAGTAAAGAAAACTAAAAGAATACAAGGTCTAAGTATGGTAGCAGAGATATCTCAACTCTTGAGCCATACTTTTTAGGAAGTCTAGTTTCTTGAGTTTGTTCCTTTCTCATAGCTCCACTAATGTTACTTGGAAACATGAGAAGAGGTGAGACAAAATGCCTCAATAACCACATTTTAAGTTGTGGAGTATCCACAACTAGTCAATCACCCATCTTGTGGTTTTTCCTAAAAAGCCAAGTTTAGCCTAAAAGCAAATGGTCATAAAACCAATATTTATGTACAAAGTCAATCAAGCATATATACAACACAGTTATACCCAACAATGACCAAACATGTAACTAATTGTGTATGAGCAAACGAATTTACCAGTATTAGTCATAGCAATTATAACATAGCATATACTCTTTGATTTCATAATTATAGTTATCAATCTACCTTATCTCCTCCTTGTTCATTTGGTTAAGTTCGTGGACTTAGAGATGGTGACATAACAGGTACTGAGCTTGTTTAGGATCCAGTTCAAGGACTGAGGTAGCTCGGGCATGAAAGTACCACCCAATAAGCTCTATATAGGGGTGAAAGTGTGATCACAGGTTAGCCTTATTCCTAAAAAATCACCCCTAAAAACCTTTATGGCCTCATCATTTATTTCGTTCTCACCACATGTCATTATAAAAATCATATCCCAGTAGTACCATTTTTATACAAGTTAGTATTATCAATTATTACATAATATTCCCATTGCAAATTCATACAATCACAATCCCAACAATCTTAGTGCAATCAATATCACAAATTATTTCTCAATAGTGGTGAGGTAAATCTTTAACTATGGTTTTGATGATTACAAAATAGAGAAGATTTTATTTAACAAAAAAATTAATACTAGAATTAAGGAAATTAAGGAGTAACTGGACTTATATGTATTAATTTCTAACTCCTATTCCTTCTAAGTCTTTATATGTATATGACCTTGCTTATGCCGGCATAAATATAAATTCTTTTAAATTCTAAGCCCTGATTTCTTGTATTTTTCTATGGGAGAAGTATTTGACTTTGCTTAAAATGTTTTAAGGTTTATTTCACCACAAATCTTGTCCCTTGTGAAGTATTTCAATTGGATTTAATCTCTCATTCTTAGTTGTTTTAGAACACTAAAATTTTTCTACAAGTGGAAATTTTTTTTTTCTATTAATACTGGTACTTAACTCTCTATACCCTTTGATTATCACTTATATCGGTACTACTTCATTGATTCTCATTTTGTCCTTATAGTGGTTACTATTTCAACTATATTGAAACTAAGGCCTTTATTCCCTTAGTTATCCTTTATACCAATATTGTTTCTTGACTCATGTTGTTTCTTATATGTGTACAAACATATCTACACTAGTACTATTCCTTATTTTACTCTATCCTTATTCTAAGACTATTCATTTATGCACAGATTAAACATAGCACTTATCTACAAAATATTTATTGTTTATATCAATACTAAGGTTACCTATACTAGTACTAACATGAAGATTTGTGCCCTATTCTATGTTTCAAAATTTTTGAGGTTCAAATCTCATATATTTATTATTATTTTAATTTTAAAGTATTGTGTTAACATTATTACCTATCTAGATACATTTTAAACATGACCTTAGATAAGATTCAACACTTATCAATTCTTACATTTTTATTTATATCTGTATTGCATTTGGCTCTACCAGTATTAACCTACCTATCTTTTGTTGGAGCATTAAATGTATATAGTTGTTACTTTCCTTACTTGCCGTGAGTACTCAACTCTATTGAAAAGCACTATGCCATCACCTCATTTTCAGAGAAGCTCAAGTGGAAAGATGAAGATGATTTTAATAGCTAATTAAATATGTCTAATGAATCATTGTTCATCTCCAACTATAAATAGACACATTTATGAAAATGGAAATAAAAGAGTTATTGCATGAATTTACGCATTCAATTTCTAACCAACCTTCTGTGATCATATTCATTGTATTTGAACTTCATTGATTGTATATCCACTTATAGAGGGTTTTTAATAATAGTTATTCATTCTTGAATATACTCTATTTATTCTTGTTTTCACTAATTGAAACAGACATCTTAAGCGCGGGGGGCTTAAGAGGGTTTATTCATTACCTTTGTAATGGAGAGTGAATTAGAAGTATAGTCTAAGATTGAACTAAGGCAACCAAGAGTCCGAATAAATCTTGCTAGAGTAAGTGAATAAAATCTCAAGTATGACTTAGGGACTGGATATAGGTTTAATGATTGCAGCAAAACTAGGATAAATACTTGTGCACACTTCTTTTCCCTTCTCTTAGCATACTTTAGTGATATCATTCTTAACTTATCTATTTTATTTTTGCATTATTTGTCAAATTTTTATCAAGTCCAATTTACCGCCTCTTGGATAATTTTACAATTGGTATCAAAGCCAAGTTGTTCAAATGTGATTTAACCATATGAGTTCAAAGATCGTACTAATGGCAACTTTTGTAGATGACAATTTTGGTGAAGGACTCTCTATCTCCAAACAACTAGTGTTCAAAAGGGAAACATTTTCTCTTATGGAAGAGTCAAATGATAATGTATCTAGAAGCTTTAAACATTGAGATGCTAGATACAGTCACTAAGGTTCCTTACATCCTTATGACTATCAAAGATGATGGCCCAACGAGAGAAAAGAGAAAAGAAGAATGAAGTGAATAAGACAAGCGGCTAGTCAATCTTAATGCCCAGCAAAGCTAACGATAGCTTGTGCTTTCAATCGTGCTGAATATTACCATGTTAGTCACTACATAATAGCTAAGGAAATATGGAATGCTTTAAAGAAAGCTCACAAAGGTACTAATAGTGTAAAGGACGAATGGAAGAGTAGTCTCATACATGGATATGAGAAATTCAAGATGAAAACTAGAGAA